CACATTGCTAATGCTAATGCCCTCCCATTCCAAAATGCTGTGATCAAATCAAGTGAGTCTGCCCCACTCTTTCGAACGATCAAAGCATCGCCCGGTCACCTCAACCAGCGACATGCAACCTGGATAAAGCCACAGGAGTCCCAGGAGGAAACACCAGCAACAGCTGTTAATTAACAGCTGTTTTGTAATGAAGCAGATTGAATAGAAGCAAAAGGCGGGCATATCAGGGCATATCTCACCAAGCACATGTCCTTTTGAACACCTCCAAGGGTCTTTTTCTTGATGATATGTCCTTGTGGGCACAGGAGCTGCAAGCTCTCACCAGACTCCAAAATCCTCGAGTCAACGCGAGATGAGAGAGTGGCGCTGCGGGAACGGGCAAGGGCGAGTCTGGCAGATGACAGGCCGGCGCAGGTTGCACGTATGTGTTCTGCCATCAGCCAGCAACCACCAATGGTGATTGTCGCTGGGGCTGGGATGAAGGGATAAGTTATATAAATTACAGCAACATGTGTATACTAATCATCACAAATATACACAAATGTCGCAAATGTATTGTTTTCAGTTTCACATTCTAACACCTTCGAAGGGTTTACAAATTATATTTGTATTTATCCAATTTCAACAGCTCACAAAACTGATATTCAGCACACTTCCAAGACTAACAAGGAAAAACACACCATACTCAGTGGGATTCCGCTGGGCACACAATTTGAAGCTCTTTCCCAAACACTTCATGTATGCATTATATTCACCTACATTGGTTATTGTTGAAAAGGGGTCAATTGGGCAGCACACATTCCAGTCCCATGGATGGGTTTGCTCTTGACTGGGCTACTGGTAGCTTCTTGTTGCTAGTAGTAATGCTCTTGTTACTAGTAGCTTCCTGTTACTAGTAGTAAGGCCACTGGTAGCGTCTGATCGCTCCGTTCGTAGCGATGCCCTTTGTTCCATTGGTAGCGTGCTCTTGCTCCTAGTAGTAAGGCCAGGAGCCCCTAGTAGCGTCCTTGCTCCTAGTAGCTTTGGACAGTCTTGCTCTGTTTGCCTTCCCCCACCACGACGCGTGGACCCGAGCGGCTCCGAGTCGAAGGTCCGCGAGCTCGCCCCCAGCGGGCTGGCAGCGAGTGGTGCCGGCTCGGTGGCTTTGCCTCTGGCCGGTGTCCTCAAAAGCTTGGCCTCGGTCAGACTGGGTCTAGAAGGAGAGTCGGTCCGAGCCGGCAAGTGAGCCCGTCATTGAATGGGCAATGAAGAAATGCACATAAAAGAATTATATATGTAGTATATATTAGTATATTATATATAGTATGTATCACTGGTGTTTTTGTTGCTTTTGCCTGGCTGTGGTGGTTGCGAACTTGTCAATTCAACAGTGGGTGGCTAATTGACAAGTTGTCCAGATTCAGTTCCAGGTGATCCTGATGTCAGCCACTTTCCCCACGGACTTTCGTAGGTACAACGTTTCTGCAGTATGAGTCAGAACCAGCAGAACAGTGCGTCCCTGTCAACAATCGATGCATCAGCTCCCAACACAGCCGCCTTTCTTGCAGTTTCTCCAGTTATCAACATTGACTTACCATGACTTATCTATTCAATTGTTGTTATAATTCATGTTGGGGTCCTAAAATTTTTCATGGTGTCCTTCCATTTGCCCTGGCTTCACCAGTCGCCTGGCTTTCCCCAAAGGGTCTTTCACATCGAATGAGAAGCCGATGCAAAGCCAACAGCCGAATGAAAATACCGCTTCAAAGCAACAATGTCAACAGAATTGACAAACCATGCATACGCTTTATATCATTCATATGAAAAACAATGAAAAACAACTATCTAATGACTCTATATATACGACCAAAACTCAAATCAGCCATGACACACCACAAAGGTACCAGCAACGGCTAATCACAATGACAGCAGGACAGAAGCCACCAAAACAATGACAACACAAAGCCACTATGCCAACCCACACCGCTTCAGGTGGGTATCTTCCTAATATCTTAGAATCTTCCACTTCAACCACGGCCTTAATGTAGACTCCTTGATTGATTAAGAAATGGCTTCCAAAACCTCATCACATGGTGGTGTTTCTCAATTAATCCAGAGTCTACAATTATCCTTTAGACTTCCCCCACCAGTTAGGGTCCCGCAGCTGGCAAACATCAGCCAAGGCACATCATCTGGGTTGTCCCCAAATGCCGCTTCAAAGTCCTTCCACTCCCGTCGATCCAAAGGCACTGCCGAAAGCAAATCTAAGCGCCGCTGTCGATTCGACATCTCTGTTGCCTCCTGGGAGGGCAGGGACCCGACTTGGACCAAAGGGAGTCTGCCAAGGGAGTCTGCTGGGGATAGTCAAACTGATTTTGGAGTGTGATCTGATTGAATCCTACAAGTACTCGTCAAACTGCCGAAGCTGGCTATACACAGCAAACAATAGCCTTGCTGAGATCGCTGGATGCACAAAGCTACAATGCTGGACATTCTGTACAGTTCCGCTGTAACAGTCCTGAATGATATGATTCCAGTGTTGTTCGTAGCAATGCTGGCACATGTCCTGAGAAAGACCACAAACTTGCACAAACTGGTACTTCAAGAGTTTCCACAAAGAACCTGGACGCTAGGTAATTGATGGACATTGGAAATCCTTGGGCACCCCATGGCACACCGGTACACAACAGTCTAAAAAATTGGCTAATCTACGCAGGACTCTGCAGAGTGAAGGCTTTAATTCACAAATATAAGTGACAAAAGATCCTATTTTGACGATCTTCAACTCCAAAGTCTCCCTAACTTATGTGATGTGTTCCTCCTTAAATCCTCCGCCTCAAACATAATAGAATCGCCTCAAACATAATAGAATCACGCACAGAATCAACAATCCATGCTTGCTCTTCGCTTTGACTCTTCCCAACATTTCCCAACAAACCATCAATGGACTCTGGTTTGGAGGAACCAGCTTCTTTTGAAAGAATAAGCATGACCAGGTCAGTGCCAGTCTTGGTCACTGGGGGGTGGTCACTTGCTGCCCTCACCAAGAGTTTTTGCTTTGCAAGTAAAGCAGATCAGCAAAGGACAGCTGATCATAGCTGATCTACACTCTTCGAGCTTGGAATCAAACAGCACCAAATGGATTTGGCTCAAACCGTGGGGCCGTAGGGCTCTTACCGGGTTCTTCGTAAGAGGTCACAAGGACTCAGGACTCTTGAATCCCCCCAATCCCCCTATTTCAATGTTGATGATTGGGCTGCTCACATGTACTGACATGAATGGCGGTTTTTCTATTATGAATGGCTGTTATACCGGACTTCACCCAACACATTGAAGTTGGGGGTGTGGGGGTCCGAACCGCGACCTGGAATACTTCTTGCATCTTCTTGCGATGGCTGTTTCTTATGAAGATCCTGGTATGAGAAGCACCGGCTGGCTTTTGGTTCAAACCCAAACCATCCATCCATGTATGGCATATTTATTTACATTCGGGGTTGTTAGAAAAGGGGTCAATGGATGATCCTATGCGGCTATGCCACTCCTGTGGAGGGATGCTCTGAGACAGGGTCTCTCACACAGGATGGCCCTCTTCGCTCCAGGTCCAGGTGTCCCATGGGCAATGCTCAGAGCAGCGCCATCGGTACTCGTTCCTCTGCAGGACCACGGAGCACACAGCGCAACGGTGCCCCGTCAACGAGGACTGCCAGGGCTTCAACTTCTTACCTGGTGACAAGGTATCTGAGGCAACTGAGGGTCAAGGCATCTGGTGACAGGAAGAGAAGACCGAAGCGGTCAAGGGCATCTGTTGGCTTGGGGAAGCAAACAAACAGACACAGGCCCTTGACAAGTGTGTTGAGTGTCAAGTGTCAAGTGTCAAACAAACTGTGTTGAGTGGAGATGTGTCATGTGGATTTCCAATGCATCTTTACGGGGCACACTGGGGCTGGTGATGTGCGAGCTTGCATGTATGCAACTGAACGCTAGAGCCCGCATTCGGATTTTCCCGAAGGGACGGCCACACTAACACATATCAAAATATACCAACACCAGCCTTACGGGTCTTCAACGGAATGTCTACACCACTTAAACTTATGGATCTCCATTTCAACACCCCTTTAGAAGCTTCCGGTCCTTTTCGATCCAAATCAATGATCTCCGGCCCTGCCGGTTCCCGGAGGGTTTCCCGGGTCAACACCGCCGCTGTTTCTGCGGTGTCTCCGCCGCGCTGCACTTGGTGACGGGATGTCCGAAGCCACATCGAGGCACAGCGTCCACATGGCAGGACCCCTCGTGTCGCTCTGCCATGCAGAGATGGGGTCGTTTTTTTGGGTCGCGCAAAGGGAGACGAAAGGGATAGACGCAACAAATTCTTAGAGTAACCTGACTCTGATTGCTAAGAAATAGGCCTGAACAAGCTGGAATGCAAAGGGAGTCCCAAGCTTTTACTTTTTTGTCAAATATTGGTATCTACTCACATGATTGGGGCACTATTATGATAAACTTAAAGTCATATTGCTAGTTATGCTCTGTGTGTGTGCGTGTGTCAACAAGCGGCTTTGCGCTGTCCGGGAGCCAAGGTTACAGCATCATGTTGATGATCATGCACAATCCAACGGCACTAGCTTTATAGGCTTTCAGAAAAACGAGTGACACCCAACATCAATGACCCCCAAGCATTTCATCTTCCCAAAAAGCACGTGAACCAGAAATTGGCCGAGGACTCCGGATGGGGCCTGTGGTGTCATTCTTCGCTGGAAAACCACACTCTGTATCTAGAAGTTGACAAAGGCCGCACCTGATCCACAATCGGCCTTCACCACGGGTCACCAGGCTTGTCTTGAGAAAACAAAATAAATAGAAATCACATCTCATCTCTTCGACTCTGCGATCATGATTCACACCTATTTTGGGTCTCCTTCACACATATTCTATTGCAGAGACGATGATTCAGCTCCACATTTCTTTCAATTGTTGCCGGCAATCAGCCCCCGATCCAACCGCCCCCGTCAACCGACCGGCGCCTGGAACGGCAAAGCAGCACCGCCGCTCCCGCCGCGAGCGCGGAAACGGCCGTCAGGACAGGCATCGCATCGGTCCCGGGGCGGAGAGTAGACCCACAAGGTCAAGAAAACGAGTCCCAAGGGAGGAGCCCCTACCTCGTAGCGTCCGATCGCTTTTGTTGGTGGAGTATATACGTAATGTAATGTTTTGCAATGCATAATGTATTATGTATTTGTATCTCCTCTTCACTCAGGTCAGTCATGTATGTCGGTGAGTCACATGTAGGAGAGGTTCAGATTCATAATCAATTTTACATTTAAACTATTGGAAATGCAATTTAGTTCGAAAAAGAGTGATGCGCGTGGATCAAGGTTCAACATTTGGCCAGCGGAGGTTGTGGTAAACCTATGAAACTTAGAATTGCTATGTGACCTGGCACAAAGTGTTATGACCCGAATCCATCTGAATCAGGATGCTGTCTAACTTGATTTATATATGATTTGATATGTCTAGAGCCGGGTAACCCAGGCGCTTGTGCTTTAAGTTGCTAGGGTCGGGCACATATCCTGATGCGCAAGTCTGATTGCAAGTCACTTGGCACTTCCAATTTCCCATCTGCAGGTCCCTCAGTCAGTGTGCTCTGTACCTTCGTGGCAGTGAGTTTCCTTAAACCGCATCGTGTTTGGGACATTTCTGGACGGTGATTTCGCTGAGGTCAAGCCATGCAGCTGCTGAGGTCTGGGCTAGCTTCGACAAAGAGCCCACGGACAACGGCAACTCCTGCGGGCCCCGTTGACCCAAAAGCTCCAGCTGCGGAGGCTCCGCTAGGCTCCGCTCCTTGGGAGACCTTGCCAAACCCCCCCGAAAGGGCCCCAAGGGGTTTTCTCCACCATGTTCCATTCAAATGCACATATCATTTACAAATTTACAAGCTACTGCCCAAGAGCTTCTTCTGAATGCAAGCACTGAGGTGATTCTCGTGAAACATGCAACGCTCGAAGCACTCGTTGTCAAGGTGTACTAAAAAACATTGTCAAACAACACAACAAATATATAGTTAGTGCTCACGCAATAAAAATAGCACGGAGGGCAAAACAATCAATCCTGAATTTGCAAGATCCATGACTAATCGAACATACTTATAATGTTCTTGACATCTTTTGACATCTGGTTTTCACGATCCACATCAACCATCACATGTTATCATGTTGTCACATCTTCTTCCAAGTCATACCTCCTTTTGGACCTTCGACTTAAAACCAGAATCCACCATCTCCACCGTCACCGGAATCCACGCGTCACCCAAGAAATCCCCTCAGAGTTTCCGAGGTAGGTTTTTGCGTCAACGGCTTTTTGCGTCCTCGAGGCGATTGTGGGAGAGGTCCAGCTCCTCCAAGGAATCCGACCTGAAAAAAGCCGACGCTTAGATAGATGATGAGGGATTCATTGAGCTTGAGATGTGTCCGTCTCAACCCCAGGCAAGCAGTGTTACATGGTGTTTGAATTGTTTTGATGTTTTTTGTAATTCATGTTAGGAGGGCTTTGATTCATCAAGACTCTACCTTACTCCCTGGCTGAAGAGCCAGTCGCATCGGATCGTGAACGCTTTTTTAGCGGCGAAGGATCATAAACAGCCCGTTTCTGAACAGGTGCGGTGAATGGCAGTGCATCCGGTTCTATTTTCTGACCGTCTTCCTTTTGATGGAGCATGCCTTAAGGATCCTCAGGACATCTCTTAGAGTGTTCTTCCGACCCAATGTCACAGGCAGAATCAGAAGGTGGCTATTGTCACTGTTGACTGGGCGAACAGGCCAACACATAGCCAACACTGTTGACGGGACGGCGTGTGCCCTTTCGATATATGACCAGGTTGGAAACGTTGGGTGAGCATGCCTTGGGTCTCAAAGAAGCGTTGGCACAATGGCGAATGTGCCAGCCCCAGTTGTGACACCAGTTTCCTATAGGCAACCAAGGTTTTGTTCGCTTTATGAATGTGTCTTGAAACTTGTTCTTACTTACATTCGCCCGTGATACCCGCCAACCTTCCAAGCGGTTTTGACTAAACCCACAACTGGTCCCAGCAGCACTGCTCCGCTGAAGATCTCAGCCGGCAAAGTTGGGCCCAAAAGGTTCTGGTCCAACAGAATGACCTTCACCTGGGATCGCGCTGCTTTTGACCCCAAACCCGTCCAACAGGTTGCTAGCCTGTCTGCGAGCAGACGGGCAAACGGATCTTCACGCCAAGCTGGCGAACCGCTTGGTAATCCCACTGCTTCAAACAATGAAGGAGGTTGGGAAGATGACAAATTCCGAAGATCCATTTTCTTGGAAAGCAACTGTCTTTACGCTTCATGCAGCCATATTATGCTCTTACCAGTAGCCTATATGGAAAAAACACAAACCAAAACTGAACCGGCTGATCATGGTCACCTTGCCCAGCATCGAAATCTCTGCTGGCAACGTACCTGACGATGGAGGTGGGACATCTGACCAGCTTAGTTCGCACAGCTTTGTCTTGACGCAAAACAAAGAGGTTTGGAAGATCCTCTTCATCCGACCCAGCTGGAGTTCATCTTCAGATCGTCTTCCAAGTACTTCTGAGTCCTTACACAAGGTTGGTTTTGAGCAAAAACGTCCAAGTCCAAGTGAAGCAATGCTTCAGTGGCTCCTGGTTGGATGGGTGATCCTGCCACTTCCGTCCCTTCATCCGAGATCGGAAAACGACCCATGGTCATTCTCCAAAACGACCCATCTGCCCTCAAAATCGACGTTTTGAGCGCTTGAACAAGGTGGTTTTCAGCGTCTGATTGGTTTCACAGTTCAATTGGGGCACTTAGTTTGTTGCTGGAGAGCGTCAGTTTCTGAAGAGATACCTTACAGGCAACTATGAAACCCAAGCAGCTCTACAACAACCCAGCCATGTGCCTGAGAACATATGCAATGCTCTGACACGACCAAAACCAGTATGTGCCTTAGAGTAATTATATAACCAAAGATGGCAAAAGGGCAGAAGAACAAATGCACAGAGATGCACTTTGGAGAGCACAAAGGACCACACTCATGCCAGAACGGAACATGCCCAGCTCGAAGGCCGGGTCAACGAGGGCTCAGGTCCAAACGAGGCCCTTGATGGCTGCTGGCAGCTCAGTGATGCTGTTCTCACCACACGAGAGGCTTTGCAAACCTGCATCAACGAGAGGCCAAGCTAAGCTCAAACATGCTTAAACTGTCTCTGGCAGTGAACCACGATGAGTCGGGGAAGTGTGCCGAAGTGATTCTTTGGTCGGCTTGAAAATTTGGATCAATAGCCACCTGACAAAATCAGTGTGCACGGGTGACTATTTGGGGGATGAGTCGGATGAGGCATCAAAAGATATATAACTGCTTGCACTTTTCTGCTCAGCACTTGGCTGGAGAAGAAAGATTGAACACTTGTCACTTATCACTTATCACCACTTGAAACTGGCACATTCACATGAGAGCCAAGGCGTCCAAACGGCAGCAACATGCCAAGCAAAGTAAATACAACCATATACATCCCAGTGCTCCCCGGATCTCTCAGGTACAGTTAGGTACATTGACCAAAAGATCGTAGAATGATCGTAGTTCCTTACTTACGGGTCTTAATGTATTAATGAACCGTCATTCTTGTTATTTGAAGTTGTGTTGAATAGAACATGTGATATATATTTGGGATCCGGGCCGCTCCAGTTCGCCATGTTGGCTGGAAGTGCCTCGCTTTGGTCATCGATCGCTCGCTGTTGACGATGTCCAGTGGAGATGAAGGATATCATGCTGCTGGGGTTGCTGGAGCAATCACTTCCGAACTATCGAGAAAAAACACTAACATACCACGTCTCCTCCTCGGGACTCTTTTGAAGACCACCCAGGGGGTTTAGCTTCCAAGTCCCACTTCTACCATGATTTGTTGTGGATGGCTGTCAACATGTCGGCTCCCCGCTCAGGTTCCAACTTAAACCATCGCCACCCAATTTGCATGTCGTAGATCCCATGACGGGCGACCCGGACAAAGCAGTTTGGCCAGTTTGGTGGCTTGTTCCGGATCTGAAGGCAGTTGTGTTGCTATCCCTTCACTAATCACCATACATTCCGTGCCAAGCAAAAGAAAAGGATCTCCCCAAGTGGAGAGTTCTTCTTGTTGAAAGTGCCAGACTGCAATCTGCAGTCATCAGTGTGGAAGGTGTGGACATAACACATGACACAAGGTGTTTCAGCAATCCTACGATGTCCCATGCGTATCAGGGCTTGGGGACTCGGATCTAGGAACAATCCCGGATTGGACACTCATACTGATCCTTGTCTAAGTATGTAGTCAACCCGGATTTGTGCAGTCTCTAATCTGAACAGTGTCAAAGGGTCCAGGACCATCCTGACCGGACCATCCTGACCTGTTTGACCATATAGAAGTATCACCTTCAACACCTTTCTCCGGAGGTACCTGCACGCTCTGTTTTCGTGTTTCCTCCCTCTCCTTCAGCTGGTTCGACGTGAGATCCACTGTTCGAAGGTTCGCAGCCTCAGAAACAAAACTGCTTTTCAATTTTCTGTGACTTAATTGAACAAACTATTGCGAATTTCTTGCAGGTTGCCGCCTGGTCCTGAATCACTTTCTTACAAAGCCACATGTGTAACACGATTCCGGGATGTTCCCAAAAGCTTTAGGGTCAATCTTGGTCTTCCCAACAAAATCTCGTGGTTTCATTGAACATGCGACAACCCACAAAAGGAGCTGTCTACCTCGTCGACATGTTCTGAGTAGTTTGTTCGCATCTTTTCATGTAGATCTGTAGATTCTTCATTATATTTCAACCCCAGTCTACATTACTGATCTACTGCCGCTGAGGGATGTAAATCTCAATGGCCTTCAGTTCCAGCTGGTTCAAATCAGTGGGTAGTTGTTACAAAGCATGCATGCCGAGCTAAGAAAATGGGTTAACCCTGCTAGCATCCATGAGTTCAGCTCATAAAGACCTGCGACACTAAACTATTAAACCCATGTCTTGACTGACAGATCTATGATGTATGATAGTTCCTGGAGTGTCCCTGCCAAATGAATGCGCTGATCCCTGTGGGGACCGATCCCTAAGTTTCCGGAACATCCAGGTGTGGTTTGGCAGGCGTAGGTCTACTGCGCCTGTGTGCTATGAAATAGAGGAACATCAATCAACATCCGTATAGCATTATATAGCGATATTTCCAAGTCTGAACTTCTCTGATTGTGCAACAAAACACATCAGTCCCCAGGAAAAGGTGGGAACTTCTCCAAAAAATAGGAAGACCACCCAAAATAAAAGAAAACGGAAGAGGTTCTCCCTTTCGGGCTGGGTTTTATGATGTTTTATGGGTCACCCAAATCTCGACATGCAGCGGCACGCTCACAGCGGCACTTCAACGCCGCACCTCCGGACCGTTCAGGGCGGCCTCAGGGACCAGCTTCAATCTGCACCTTGGAAGCTGAGCGGAGCGAGGTCCGGCCTGGTGCTTTTGGTGCTTGGTGTGGAGCTTGGTGGGGGTGAGCTGAGGCCCTGAAAGATCACATCCCCAAACAATATGAGAATGCCTAGAGGTGGAGGTTCACATTGCCTTTTTTAGATCACAAAAATCAAACCTGGCGTTTGAGTTTGAAGTCTTCGGTTTTCCAACCATGCTTTCCATCGAACTATTTCGCATACACCCGATACACCAATCTCACGCTTGCAGAGCGAACGAGGATGACCTGCCAGGAATGCCTCTGAAATCACCTCCCTGGCACGGCTCCTATAGGCGCCCGCACTCTCGAAGCGCTAGGACTCGGGTGCTTTTCGCTTGGGCCACCTGCAATTTTTCCAGCGGTGGCAAGCAGGCCGCACATCCAGGACATAGCCTGGTACAAATATAAGAAACAACCATTAAGAAAAATAGAAGAAGACTCTCAGAAGAAATCTGATGGAAACAAAAGCCCATGAATATTGGGATCACAGTGGTGCGAAACGGCAGGAAATGGGCCGGCAAAAGCTTGATGGTCTTGGAACATGCTCACTGCCATGGTTTCAAGGTTAGTAGTCGCTTTCTTTCTTCGACAAGGGCTCACAAAGAACCAAACGAGTCCAAGCATGTAATTTGCCAGGCTACATGATATCGCACGGAATTCACAAATGTCGCTGTTTGGGTATCACGGTATCACTACTCTAAAATTAAGTCCTGGTCACGCCGCTTTTTCTTTGAGTGCCATGATTACCACTGGCCTCACTGGCCGAGCTTCACCCAAAGAGCCATATACAAACACGCTTATGTTTGTTCCATTCTTGGCTGCCACTTGCAAAGGTGTAGTCCCATCTAGCACTGCGGCATTGTGGTCCGCTTGAGCTTCTTTTAAGAGCCTCACCCGTTTAAATTGAGCTATAGCTCGCCCATGTGTACCACGGCGGCCCATGCGCCGAACTGAGTGGTTCCCTGGAGTTGGGGACATGCGCCGAACCAAGTGATACGAATGCTGCGATATATCAAACACTTTAACAGGGTAATAAAGGATATGAAAGGGGTCGTGAACTGTCACCTGGATTCCCTCCAAAAATGATTGGATTGGATTGGTCAGATTGGTCAGTCACTTTTGGTCCAACAAGCTGAACCGCACTCTACGGCTACATGATTACCCGGCCGACATTGTTTGTTGATACTCTCTTATTGTTCATCAGCATGAACTGGACAGGTTGAGCAAACCAAGTAAAACCCAACCATGTAACTACGTCATATAAATGTATGTGACAATTGACTAACAACACAACAAATATCATGTAATTATACTGTATATATACATCTGTATACTTACAATAGATCTTAGATCGTAATTGATATGTGAACAAATGTGTGTTTGGCAATCAATTGGATTCGTCTTGGCCTAGTACTGCCCCAACGCTTGAACCAAGCGAACCAAAAAATAACATCTGCAAAAGTCTTGCCTTCTTCTGGATGACCTCCTGCGGCACAGCCTGCGGCAAAGGACAAACATTCTTGGTACCTATCGCTTCGTCGCACCATGACGGGACATCCAACAACCTACTCAACGCCCAGACCCAAAGATTTTTGCCTGCCGATTTCGGGTCACCCGAAATCAGTTGCACGAGCGAAATCTTCTCCCACGGGCCTTCGCAGCTTTTGGTGCCTGCAAAGTGCAGGAGTGGAACATCCATTGGACAAGTGGACAAGAACTATCAAACCATCAAGTATTCCTCAGTTCAATGCTGCACACCGGTTTTGGACTCCTTCTTGGGGCAAAACCTCCATGGAAGGACCAGGTTGGAAGGTTCCTGGATGTTCTGAGTTCATATGAAAGCAGTGAGGTCTCATCCACCACATTCGTGAGGCAGAAAAACCTTCTCTTCGGTGGCAACAATTGCATTGACTTATCAAATGCTGGTCCTTCTCAAGTTCAATGAATGCCGCATCATGCGATCTCTCATGACCCGCATCCCCTCGCCTCCACGGCATTGTTCTTGCCACACTGGCAACCCATGTTTTTGACACCGCTCAACGGCTTAATGTTGGATGCAATAGTCAGTTGTTGCTGGGTTGCACTAAGTATTGGAAGGTCAGGCATATAACTGAATGATATTCAAAAATAAAGAATACAGTAGGTAGACTTGGTCCTTCTGAGTATAAAAGGTCTGGTGTGAACCAGTAGTTTTGACTCATGGAAGTGTGCCTCGATGCTTGTTGACCTATCCCTACCCAGTTGAGCACACCAAGCAGCAGCAGGGAAATTTGAGCAACTTCAAATCCATCAAACTGTGTATTCCCTCTTATACTAATACTATATTAGTCATTTCCTAGGTGCCCCACCCCTTGTCAGGCATTCTATCTTTCAGTCACGGAGTACATATCAGTCACGGAGTACATATTGATTCTCTAAACAACGGCGATGACTCTTCACGGAAACTTCAGGACCCCCCTGCATCTGACCGTCCAACACTGTGGCCCCTCTTTCGGCTGCGATCTCGGCAGCTGCAGCGGTCTGTGCAGTCCACCAGAGCTCGTCAGCGATCGATCGGCTCAGTGGATGCGTGTGCTTCCAAGGTTTCCAAGCACCTCCCGGCCAATGAAGCCTCGGGCGAGTCCAACTGATGAACTTACAGATTGGTGGAGTCCGGACACCAATACAGTTGTGTTCGCAATTTTGTGTGTTGTTGTCGTTTTTGGGTGGACAAACGTCGTTGGAAAGCTTCAAAACTCGCAGTATGTAGCTGAGTCATGTGCCGAAGTCAAGGGTCATCCTACCATACCACTTTATATAGAAGCGAGTCAATTATTAGCCAAATAACACGTCTGATGCCCGAAAGGAATCTACATGTGACAGCTACCGTGATACTTGTCAACATGTTGGACGAACATGAAGATAGGCAACTTCCCAACCATTGCGCAGGTTCAACCTGTGCAACTTAGTAAGTAATTATCAAGTATGCTAAACACACACAAACATCTTCTCTGACAATATGCACATCAACACATTTTGACACCCCAAGTGCCAACAAACCTCTCCTCACAACCATCTTCCCCCCCCATTCCGCGCGCCAAGGCACACACGGAGGCCGAGCCGGCCGTCGCGGCCCGGCAGCAAGTGGTGCGGCTGTTGGAGGAAGTGGAGAACTTCGTCACTCGCGGTGTTCCTCAGCGTAGCGAGTCGGTTGTTTTTTGGTGGATTTCCGAGGAACAAGGGCATGGTACCAAGGGGCTGGGGCAATGGCCTATCAGGTGACTGTGATGTTGGTAACACTATGTTGACATGTGCCACGTCGTCTTGAGTTTGTCGTCTTGAGGACTGCGGGCTGTGGGAACACCATACCTTGACTCCAAAAGGCGTTGGTGACCAAATTTTTCGAGACAAGGTTGTTTGAACATGGAAGACACGTGGAGGATGCTGCTCACGTCTTCCTTAGAGCCGAGTTGCAAGCCATTGAAGGACACCAAGAAGTTGTTGGATGGATTCAAAAGGCAAACCTCAAGCATAGGAGGCCTGACTACCCAAAAGCGAGGCTAAGTGTGAGAGCACAGTCATAAATTGAATGTCCACTTTCTCTGGAAGTGATCAGCAATCAATTTGATTCTGTAACAAGTGACAACTTCCTTGTGGGTCAACTCAAAACTGGATCACAACATCCAATATGACATATTTATGTTAGATAATGTACACAAAAAAAAATATGATCAAACGATATAGCTTGAAACAACACCATATAATAACAATTCATAAATATATTGATTTTTTGGAATCAATACCTACTCAGTCTGCTCCTGCTGGTTACCACCATGCTTTTTTGCCTAAACACCTTGCTTGGCGCGCCAAAGTTCAAACAACACCAAAGCAACAACTGAAACACACCGGGAGTCACACCGGTTTAACAAACACACGCTGACAATCACCCACAACGACCGACCGATGCCGACCAAGTCTCGTTGAGAGGCAAAGCTTTGGCCCCTTTGATGCGCTCCACGGGCACTTTTTTCACCTCTGGAGGCTCTTCTTCCATTCCCGTGGGAGGACACACCTGGCGGTGTGAATAGAAAACGAACCAACAAACACCGGTGGCGCCGGTTTAGGTGGTTTGGGCCTGTGCACTTGGAAGATAGGTCTGGTCGACCCATGACCCAGGAGTTATATAAATAAATCAAAACATATGTTATATAATATGTAACAATGATATTTGCAGTGATGATCAGTTCGGTTCTTCGTGTTCACTGTCCCCCAATCACGTACAGTTCGGAATCAACCCGCATGCGGATATTAAAAACGCTGAGACATCCCAGGTCCCCTCAGCTGGGTGCGAGTTGAAGCAACACCCTTTGTCTGATATGGCATGATATGACTGTACCCAGGCCTTCAGAAGTATACCTTCAACCAACAAATGCCTCATGACCTCATGCGCCAGCTCGTCACTCCTATCTTCACTTACCGAGTTGATGCGCCGGATTCGCCTCCCAAACGGAAGCATTGGAGGGGAGTCCTGGGCCAACGCGCGGCAAGCCATGCGGAATCCCCAAAAAATAATCAAGAACTCCACCCAAAACCTTCGAGCAAAGTCCCAGGGCGCCAAAGTCTCAGAACTCAACAGTTCCAACTTGGACAGTCGGAGTGTATCATGTACATCATTTGTACATATATACATTACATTAAGTGGATGGATATAGGAACCATGAACCAGCTAGCAGCTATCCCTTGCCACACATTTGCGATGCGTTTTTGCATGGCTGCATTCCTCCTGTGGGGCGGGGGACATGACTTTTCGTGAGAAGCTGTGCATCCTTCCAACATGACTTTTCTGGAGTTTGATATCTTCTTCACTGGACCTCATACCCGTGGTGCTTTCGCCTAACAAAACGGAGGAGAATGCAATTCCAAGCCCTTCATCGGGTGGCAACGATGTGCAGCCCTGAAATGCCACTGCTGCAGTCTGAGAAACGCCACTGCTTTGTGGCCCCAAATCTTAGACGGCTCGGGCTCACCTTTCACCGCGATACTCACCTCAATATATTGTTAAAGCAAGGAGAACTCAGGTAGGTCAGGCGAGCTGTAAAAGTGACATTGATCTCCAAAAAGCTCTACAGTCACAATATTTGTAGCTCTTTTTCCACCTGTTGGATCTTTAGCGGGGAAACCAATCCACTGACCGCATACGTCGGTCAGGATCCTTCACAGTTCTTTCCATCCAGTCCTGCCGTACGTTCTGAGAAAAGCTCGGTCCTTCATCCCAAATCACAGAGGCTCCTCTGGGCTCACTGGAGATGTAGCGGAAGAAGAGGTCCACCCAAGCTTGATCCAAGTATCCTGGTGGCATGGAGGTCAAGGACCTTCTCAGAAGATATTTTTGGGACCCACTAGGCAACATGTACCTTTCGGTACGTTTTTGTTTGCAATGCCTAAATGCTGCGTGATCCTGACCAGCACGAATGGTGCAAATCAGTCCGACTTCGTCCTTGTAATCGGAACTCAGGATGCTCATCCAAAAGGCCCTCCAGCAATGCACGCCCCATAGCATCGAAGATCCTGCGTGTCGGGTCCCTCGATCTGAATGAACCGTTCGAAGGGAAGAGGCGAAAAGGTGTTCCTGGAGGTGTTCAGGTTTTGCGAACGCATTACCTTCTCCAAAGATGGACATGCCCCTTTTACAGGAATCCTCGACAAACAAGGTCTCTTCTGCTGCATACAGGGTATCATTTGAGCCATTGCGCACAGCTTTGCGCTCTGTTTAAGTAGAATGTTCTAGAAGTGCTCCAACGACTCAGGAATCTCCAGGGATGAGGGGTTGTTACATGCAGTACATAGTGAGGTATCTTGGAACCGACATCCAAAACTAGAGTTCTAGTTGGAGTTGTGCTGTTTCCTTGGGTTCCACCCTCAACTGTTGGTAATTCTGGCATCCTTCAACTAATCAGTATATAGATCATTGTATGGTGGTGCCAAACGGTCCACGAACGGAGTATCCGCTGCTGCAGGGCGCAGGGATGGAGCCCAGCTCGGTGATTGCACTGTCTACAATCCCAGTTTGATGGGAGCTGGCAGGTATTCTTCTTTGGGGGAAAAACACACATGGCTACAACAAGCCGGACATCAATCGAAAAAGCGTGCCTCAAATCTGGGGTGATGACCATGACTCCACTGTTCAGCCTCTGATGCCTGATTTCTTGATGGTCCAAACCTCACAAGCTGATTCGCCGCACAGCACTTCGCACATGCTCACTGATGACTTGATGAGTGCTTCTGTCACAAAACGGCACTTGCAAAACACTTCTTTCTATACACCTGACATATGACAATATATACTGTATATATATATATATATCCAAATGGCCCAAATGGACCCTAATGGTCAATTTTGCTGTCTTCCCCAGGATTCCGTCCATTGTAAATGGACTGGATGGCTGGAAAAAGCACCGACTTGTTGAGATGGAGCGAGACAAGGCCTTGTGAGCTCACCACAGAAGCTAAAAGCTTGGTCACACACACAGGGACCCATGATATCATCCTGTCGCCCAGAATTTGAATGAATTTGATATGTTCAGGTGAATACCAGGAGCTTCATACACAGACCAGGTTGCCACAGATTGGACTCATGAAGTCGTGGAAAAGCACTCCATACTGCCAACAATATGTTTATCGGTCAATGATATAAATCTGTTGCCAGCATTTATGCAGATCGACCTTTGTATTTTTGGAGGGAGGGATCCTTGTAGTGCGACAGCGTCTTCTGGAATGACTGCCTCATGCTCCCTCCGAAAGCTTAATGGAGTATAGTCAAAGCAGGGCCCCCCATTGCTTCATAGTAGTTCAAAGTGGTTCATTGAGTTTCTCAAGATCCCCACCAGTCGAAGACCTTCTCCTGGATTTGTACAAGTAACTTGCATGACCACGCCTTGAAGAAGGAGTTTGCCCCACAGACCCACCTGCCGCGCTGCCGCGCTGGACCTCTCACCCCTTCCGCCCTGCCGCGCTGCCCAAGCCAGTGGCTGCAAAGTGAACTGCCGCGGGAAGCTGAAGCAAAGGCCACAGGTTCCCAGTCACCAAGACATCGGTATCTAAGTAGAGAATCCTCACGACGGCGATGCCCACATGGTGTCACCAGGGTCTCCGAACCCCAGTGGTTGGGGTCTCCTGTTCCAAGGCCCCCCAAATCCCCTAGGATGGACAGAACAGTTCTTCATTCACCATGGTTTGTGGAGCTTAGTGATGTTTAAGTGTTTTACATTGTTTTACCATTTAATCCTGATCACTGCCACATGCTTTGCGCCAAGACAACAAGCACCCCAAAAAACCACAGTTGTTGGACAAAAGAAGATTCTGTCTGTAGATATTCTACTCATCGGTGCTTCCCACAAAGGCGCTGCGCAGTCGGCGCTCGTCTCCTCCGCAAGTGGACGAAGCGCCACAAATGCAAGCGTCTCCAGCCCCCCGGGTGGTGCCGCACGGGTGGCACGGGCACCGGGATCAGGTTCCTGGCCGTTGTGGCGAGGGGCGTGCGGCAGCCAAAAAGACCGCCGTCAGCCTATCTGCATAATTTGGACGCCTGTCAGTGCCACTAAACAACCAACTAAACTTTGTCATAGCTTTAGATTGGACGGATTGTGATCATTAAGAGAAACGATTCTGAAATCTCTAAGAAAACATGTGTTGAAAACCACTGACAACTGAGCTTGCCTATCTTGCAAAACAACGTGACATCGCAGAACGGTGGCCTCTGAAGCAGCTTTTGACTAAGTTCCAGTGGTCTCTCCTGCGCAACAAACATACGCTTGTGAAACAGCATAATTAAGGTTGTAGATTGAGGCATTGACCGAACAAGTGTCAGTAGTGTCGGTAGTGGTGCTACTCATTGTGTGCAACAGTTCATTCTGAATAATAGCTCACCAATAATTACTATGGTTTTCTGGCGACATCGCTGCAAACCTGTCCAAAGGAGTATATATAAGGACCATGCAGGACACACAGCTCTTGCCACGGGCACACACGCACAAAGCCAAACAATGGTTGGTGAGTTGTTGAACAGTTAAAGGATATTAAGCGCATTGAGCCACGTCTCGAGCCAAGTCTCCTGTTGGCAAAGAACTAGAAGAGGGACCTAAGGAGACGAGAAGAGAGACAGTGTCATCTCATGTCTCAGCAAAAGGGAATGAAGTTCGCATCTGGGCCAGCACGTTTCAACATCAGTCAGGGTCTCAGTCTGCGGTCGGCGCTCGGCGCGACTAGACCCATGTGACCCATGTGACCGTGGATCGACCGCTCGGCGGCCAAACGAGGCAAAGCCGACTGGCTCGGTCAAGACACGGCAAGTCGTTGCTCGCCGCTGCTCGGATTGGCATGAAACCGGAGCAAACTCCAAGACATCACATTGAGCGCCTGGCAAGCAGATTGCGTAGAACTGGCACCCTGGAGTCGTGTGAAACCAATGCTCTGACAATGATTCAGGGTCTTCTGAAGGTGTTTGTTCAGGGTCTGTCAGGCAGGTGTTGTTCAGTCCAACTTCTAAGACGCTCATTGGACATCTTTGGACAGCATCGTCATACACACTCTCACAGTGAACCTCCGCCATTGCGTCTCCCCAGTGTCACTTCCGCCGTCTCCTTCCCCCTTCGATGTCTGCGATGTCCAAGAAAAAACGCCGACTCATCGGTCCACTTCGGATGCGGGCAAAACTTGGACAGGGGCCAAAGCCAGGAACCATCAGATGTTTTTTTTGGTTCAATCAACATTGCTGTTGGTCCACTACAAACTGTAGCATCCAACCATCATCCACCAAAGCTCAACAGGCTAGAGGCATTTATAGACAAGCTCGAACCCAATCACCCCCACAATGTGCTTCTACATTCAATTGAATTGTTCATTCGGTGTTCCGTAGCTTTCAGCTTGGGACGGGAGTAGTGACATTTGGATATTTGTCACACTTTTGCTGGGTGGGATAAACCAAGCCGCGCCATTTCCTAGGTCTACCAGCTGCCTGCAGCCACTCCTCAAAGTCCTCCTCTGTGGGCTCCAGGAGTGTGGCAAAGGCCAAGCCATCCAAGTTGGCTGCATCCGGTGTCTGTACTTGTTCCGGGGCGAATAACCTGGACGTGGTAGGACTGCGTCCCAAGTTTGGCGAGAAGTGCATAGCCGTTCTGGGCACATCACTGAAGTAAGGATTAAATGTGTGTATGCATATATGATGCCACACCCTATGACATTACAAATTAATATATGTGCGCCTGCATACATATCTTGTTGTATACTTTACACTTCGATTGTGGACTTATTGCAAAACAACATAATTTGGCAAGTGTGTCAATCCTTGTATCTTCTTGCACACCACCCACACTAAGACAATAGATCCTCTACCACATGGACTCTAGTTGAGTGCAACTGAGAAAATGCCTATTATCCATGAAGCAGGGACTGTATGTAGTGTTCCCAGCGTGTTCGAATCCCCCTCGCCACACTTCAAGTTGCCGGGCATATCGAAACGTCTCTGATTGGGAGTGTGGAAAAGGCACATACATGCAATGCACATGCCCCATCAACTTCCAAAATCTCAACCTCAGACTCTGCAGTGATGCTCCCAATGTCTGATTCTGTGCACAAGACCTGACCTTTCGTGTCTTTGCTGCCCAAGAGGCTGTCCTTCAAAACTTCTTTGCCAGTTCCCCACACTGCCGGCTCGCCCAAGCCAGTCGTTCACCGAGATGCTGGGGATCCAAAAATCCAGTGGCCACAGTTCTGAGCGCTGGGAAGCCTCAAAACACAGGTTTACAAATTGCGACACACACGGAAACTGTGGCAGTTCGGAGGATGATTCTGCTTTTACTACGGGTGCTCTTGAGTCTAATTACTGGTTTCTAGGTTGGATTTTGAGAGGAGCGGGTTGCTAAGACAATGGGTGCTCATCTTCTTGTTGCACCGCGCCTCAGCGGTCACTCTTTGATCAAAGAATGTCCAGTTCCAGGGGTTCTGATTCTGGGCGAATCTGGTCAGAAGAGAGAAACACGACCTCAAATTCTGTATCAAAAAAGAACCTTATTTTTGATAGATCCATGCCTTTGTGCAGACTGTCCACCGCTGCGGCCGTCGAAGTGCATGTGACGCAAGTGTGGATGATAGATCCATGCCCTTCCGTAAACTCTGCAGAGCAATTTTGTCTCTTTGGGTGTTGGACTGGTCTGCAGGCTTATGGTTCATGTCCCCATGTCCATCTATTCCCACCCTTTACTCAAGACATCACCCGTGATATGTGCAAAGCTTCATGAATTAATCAATATTAATCAGCATTTGGATTTAAACATAAGACTAAGGTTCAAAGATGTTCTAAGGATTCTGTTTGCCGGATGGTCTCTCAGTTCCCACAAGACCAAGGCACAAAAAACTCGGTGCTGACCCCACCCCGTGGGGGTGTGCCACCGTGCCACGGTGAAAGTGCTGTCATCAAGGCATCTTGGGCTCGAAGCAAAGCTCGAGCACTCGGCCTCTGACTCTGCGCCAAGAGGGATTGCCCGCCAAGCCACGCACGAGTTGCCTTGTTCAAACAAGAAAAGTTCTGAAAGTACACACTCAAGAAAATCAAACTAAGTGGCTGTATTGCACGGATTCATTCACCCTCGCTGAAAGATGAACCATTTGGAACCCAACATCCCAGACACCGCTCTGATTTGAACATGTTCAGTAGGGAGACCTAGGATTCATTGCTTCAAGCATCTCGCATGACTCACTAGCCAGGCTGCAGCTTTGGCCACAGGCTTCAAAGCCAAACACGCACAGTGATGTATCGCCCCCGGACTCGTTCCCATCGGGGTCCGAGTCAAGCAGCGAGGAGCCTCCTGGGACAGCACATGCGCACGCCGGTGAAGCTCCATTGACTCGGCATTCTGAGGAAACACCAAAGGGAGCCGTCGCAAGAACTGAAGAATGGGCCAGCCAGAGAGCAAGACTTGCAGGGTTGGAATTTGAAATCTTCCCAGTGCTCGGAGCAGATATCCTTGGATTTGCGGCTCCCAGGGACCGGGCAGGTGAGGGGGGTATTCACCCAGTATGGGAACATACACATAAACGCAATATGGGCAAAAGCATGCAAAAGCCAGGTATCTTCTGGCTCTTTGAAGTAGAAAGCGTCTCATCTGGGAGACTTGGCGCTGCAAATCTTCCAGGGCCACTGCAAAGGCTGCGATCATGGTGGTGATACTTCCCAGCCAGCATTCTTCATCCTTTTCACGCCAACTCCTTGAAGTCTTGGTGAGTGTATATATATATATATATGTGTGTGTGTCTATGATTGTACATACGGTTGATGTCCCTGGACCCATGACCAAACAGCACTGGGGAATTCGATCTTGTAAGCAACTCACACGCACAAAACATCACTGCTCAACTTCGCTGCGCTGCTCAACTGGTCGGAACCACAGCCCATCCTCCGGTTTGCTTTGCCCGAAGTCGATCCTCGTGGCAATGGAGCTGGGCAAATCTCAGCTCTGCCGAGGATAGCACAAAGGTCTTGTAGCGCCTTGACGCACCAGTGGGCCGGGTATAGAATGGGTATAGATAGCACCATCCCCCAAAGGTGGTGTATCACGAAGTCCATCTTGGGGGTCTGATGATGTGTTCACCGAAGCCCATCAGTGCACCTCGGCCTGAAGACTCGGTGCGCCTCTGAAGACTCCTTGGAGGCCCTGGATACCGATTGAGTTGAGTTCAACATTGAAGATGTAGCATGTATCGAACATGTCGTGAACCCCATGCTGACTCAATATTCTTTCCCCAATCGGTAACGCACCTCTACCCCTGCTGCGAAAACTGTGGTCGTCCTCCACACCAAGGAAAAAGATCTATCTCCAACCCCATCCCCACACCACACCCTTCCCCTAAAAGAACACTTAATTATGGCCCCTACCTTAGACCCCCCCTATCTCCACATACCTAGGAATAATTAGCAATTATTCCTGGGGCCTTGAACATAGTTTCAGGATAATTATTCCAGATGTGCACCTGATGCAGGAATATTTTCTGTCATTAGAAATATCAACTCGTGGAACAGATCCAAGACAGATCAACACAGGCTCGAAAAGCTTCGATAGTAGCTTCGATTATGTAAATTATTCCAGGGATAGTTGGCATGAAATTATTCCTCCTGAGTCTCAGCATCAAGAGACCCACTTTAGGATTATTTAAATAAATATTCTACCGTCTAATTATTCCACAAAAAATATTCCACTATGTGACATGCCCCCCTGGAATAAATATTTAAGGGAGGGCCCATACTTAATTAACGGTGTCGTGCGGTGTCGTGCTTGAACCCTGTTCATCACATTCCCATCCTGATGGACCCTCCTGACTTCTGAAAAGCATCCCAACCTCTGCCCAAACGAATCCGCGCTTTGGAATGTGCGCGCGCTCCGCGCGCAGAGAGCGCTTGGCTGGGCCGGGCGTCGCTTCGCTCGTCTCCTCGAGCGCCTGGAAGTAGCGCTCCCAGCAGCTCGGAGACGTCGCAGCTGGATCTGAGGGACCCGGTCGACGTCAGCGGACGGGGTGCGTCCTTCCGGGTCCCTCCCGCCCGGACAAGAGAGACACAAATTGAAGTGTTAAGACTTAAGAACCTTTGAAGTGAAATTGGGGACACTCCCACCAACAAAACATCGAATCTGGAACTCTGGATTGGAACATATCAGAATTGATTGATTGGGTCTGCTGTGGTGCGAGATTTAAGGATTGGGGAAACATGGGAAAAGTAAATTCTTGAACCACCCTCATCTGTGGAACTTGGTGATGGATGGGATCTTGGGGTTTGTGGGACCTGCAAATAGGACATGGAGGCAATCTGATATGCGACAGTGTTGACTAAGTTGTTAAACCTCACATCCATGAAATCGGCCCGAACCGCAACGCATGCACGTTATATATTTGAATGGAGTGGAACACTCATGCCCTTGTTCGTTTAGTGTATTTGCATCGATTTGTTTATTTTTACGTTTGTGGGCCTCTGCCATCCTCTGCCCATATATGTATGAAGTATGCCATGAAACACATTGAACTATTGGACCTGCTTTCCAACCGGTGTTATGACACGTATACCGTATACGTAGGACAACGACCCCACCGTCCCATCACCGTCTCAGACATCGAGCTTCGTCCGTCGCCCGACCTGTTCGTCAAACATCGATGCAATTGATATTTCAAGAGCTTCCAGTGGACCTGTGACGCAAAATGACCAACAACATGACCAATTAGAAGAAGAAATCTGGACGGTCGCCGGTGGCCAAGTCAGCTGTAACCAAGTGGATTGTTTATCCAGCTGTTTCATGGAAAATAAACTCAGAATTTATCCATCTGCGCATTGAAGTGACAAGATGGAAAGAACATGAAAGAATTCTATCTGCATCTCCATCTGGATCTCAATCTCTGATGGAAACAACTCAATCCAAGCACTCACGATGCATGCTCCATGCCTCACCTTGGATTTCTCACCCACGGCGCTGCAGCCCAACCGAACACTTCGCCAGTCACTGGCCCATGACCTAGCGAAACAAACCGTAGCGCTTGGGACCCCGTTACGGAACAGAAAAGAACACGTAGCAATACATTCTCTGATCCTTCTATCTGGGGGGTTCAAAGGGGATCCAGGGACTCTTCCAGGGTCTTTTCCATGTTCTCAAACTGCTGCACAAACATGGTCTGCTTATCCATGTTTTTTGTCAGATTGCTTTGGGTGTTGGATCCGACCAAACTGGTTTGGCCACTGCCCGCCTGAAGTGGCACGCGGGAAGTGGCCCGGTGAATGCCGACATCATGGTGGCAAGTCAAGCATCGACACCACATGTGGAACTAAGCTGCTAAAGCTAGAAACAACCTTTGTAAACCAACCTGTTTGACAACGCATTGGCAACTATGCAGGGCATTCGTCAATTTTGGTTTGAAGATTCAATGCCTATAGAACCAACACTCGTCGATTTGGACAACGCGAGTGTGTCAACACCTATCGCAGGTGCATTTTGTCTGAGGCCGTCAATGTTTGCCCGGCCTTTGCTCTAAGGCCGTACTGTTTGCCCTCAACCAATATAAAACCGTTTCCCTATCCAAATTCAACCACAAAACCAACCAAGTTGCAAAAGACTTGACATTACAACTGCAATCATTCACTTACACTCCCTTGGAAAGCCTTCCACTATGTTGGATCAAGTATCAATGCACCGGGCTTTGGAGTGACTACTCCTTCCAATGTTTCCTTCACCTTGATGATGAACCCTTCTCAGTCTGTTGGTTCTGTTTGTGCCAGAGAAACTGCAAGTCTGTACATGCAACAGGCATACAAACCTGGACTGGACAAACTGGCAGCAAATCTGAGCCTGTATGACACAAATTGCCACCTTCAACCTGCTTCCCCTCCCTTCAAGCATCTCACCGACACACATTGCGGCAACAAGTGTGCGTTGTGGTCATTGGTCCATCCAGGCGCATTGCGGCAGCAAACCAGCAGCACACTAGCAGCAAACCAGCAGCAAACTAGCAACATACCAGCAGCCCAGTAGCACACCAGCAGCAAGCCAGCAAGTAGTATGTCCCCATCGGACCAAACTCTCGACGGGAGGGCTACTTTCAGTTGAAACCCAGTTGCCAGAATCGCAGGTCTGATCATTCACTTGGGCACGTCCTGCTCTGCAATGCTGCAGCTCTGCAAGATCAAAATCACATGTCCCATTTCAAGCAACTTCAACACAAGGGGTGCTTTATTTGACATCCCCTTAGGCTCAGGGAACGCTTTGTGCACACACCTCTGCAACTTCTGGTATGTTTGCACATTTGCTTCCATTCAATTCCGCCAACCCTTTGCCAGAATCCACCACCTATAGAACACTTCTGACTAGCTTGAGCCCTATCGCAAGATACCAACAAACAATTCACACGTATGTCTTGCAGCAAGACGTGAATCTGCAGCAACCTCCCAGCACGATTGCCACGGTGTTTTCTCATTCTGTGGCCGGCGCGGTCGCTCGATGTCGGGACAAAGCTGCGGGTGCCCGGCTCAAGGGCAGCTCGAGGCCTGGTGCGACGGGCCGCACAAAGGGCTGATAAGACCATCACAAGGGCTGTTGTCATGCAGCTGGGAATATGTATCAACTATATATATATATACAACTTATGTACGCATATATCAATATTTGTCATGCTATGCCGCCCTCCCATCTACCTCTTTTTTTGTGTTGAAGTAACACTAGTTGAAACAGAAACATTGCATATTGCTGCATGTGAGAACGTAGAGGCTTTATGTTTCAGATTAAGGGTTCCTTTAAAATGTTCTGCATCTGAATCTAGCATGTGTGTCTCGACACTGGAAACATCTGAAGAAACGTGATCCCTTTCTCGGTAGCTCCCGTCCTTTTTCCAAATGCAATAGGTTCAAAAGGTGGTCTTCCGCTCCAAAGGGCATGCGGAAATAAACGGCGACATATTCTCACTGTGGACCATGCAAATACACCCACTCAGAGGGTTAGAATGACCTTTTTAACGGTCCTTTAATGTTGCTCTAAACCGCAGGCCACAAATTTTGCAGGACCCTACTTGCCAGGGCTTGAAGGAATATACAAGGGGACCCGGTCAGTGATCTTGCACAGGCACCTCTAAATTCAGCAATTCAAGGAACCACCAGTGCGAAATGTTCTTTGGACCTCTTTGGTTTGGAGGTATGTGTTGATGCCCAAATTGGGAGAAATGGCTCGGTGGTCCATAGATTTCGATGATGGGATGATTGATGATGCCGTTATCTCTTGATCCTCACGGCACTCTGCAGCTTTTGAGTGATGTACTGTTCGTTTACATCCTTCTTTGGTAAATGCTGGAAAACCTCTGATGCTGCTCAGAGTAGTGCTTGTGCTATCCGGTGGATCTTGCATGATCTTCCCAGGGTTTGCTTAGGGGGTAAACTCAAAAGACTCAACAGCTCATGATGTGCAATAGTTTAGTCTTGGCAACTTGTTGGGGAGTGTGAAGCTTGGTTTGTGCATGTTTGCGGTGCTCCAGTTCTGATGTCGCTGGTCCTGCCGGTGGGGGTTGGCACCTCAAAGGATCCGGGTTGGCTTTCCAGCTTGAGGCTTCCAGGCAGACGCTTTCACACATTTGGGTCATCCAAAAGTCGCCTTTCTGCACCCCACTCCCCGTCTTTCAGGCCCTTGCAACGAGAATCCTGGACAAATGAGGCCCTCTCAGGCCTTTGTTCCATGACATCGACCCTGCCAGCAAATCAACCAAATCTGTGTTTTCCTCCATCTGCAGATCATTTGGCAGGCATTTACCCACCCAAATCCACACCAACCCATCCAACCCACTCTCCATCGCACACTCTACACTGCTCCATTCCGCCCGCTCAAACGCGCGCCGGTGATCGCACCTGGCTCGTGAGGCGGACGACACACCCAAAGCACCAAGGCCACGGTCACGGCGAGGCCCAGGAAACTCATCAAGGCCTCGGGAGCAGTTCTCATGTACATGAGGCGGATCGAGAAGCTGGCGATTTTGGTTGTGATGGTGGGACCTGGGACCCCACCGAACCTGACAGGGATTGGAGGTCGACGGTCTTCTTTCTGACGTTGAAAAGCCATGGGAAAAATTAGTGAATTTGGATCGCACACTGTCTCAAGCGCTCCAAATGTAGATAACAAGGACTGTATACATTATAACTCATTATATAGGGACCTGGTTAAAACAAAACTGGAGCCATTGGGTTTCAGGTATGGTATGGCTGCGTTCGCCACTTCACCGTGTTTTCTGGAATGTTGAGTCCAAGGATCTCAAAATCTCAATCTCACCCCCAAAAAATAGAAAAGTAGATCTCCACTCCACTAATGGTGTATTGGATACCGTTTCACTATCTATTTGGCAACCAGTATCTATCTGTCTATCTATCTATCTATACAAGTTTGGTCAGCTTTCCTTCACGATCTCTAAACTGGTGGACGAGTCTCAAGGTAAATAGCACAGCAGAATTGAAACAACGATTAAATTGACTACGGATAAAATTTATTTCTAAGCAAGACTCGTCAGTGATGAACGTGGAATTTATCTAGATGTAGAATGCTTATGCCACGGCAAAACCTTGTGATGGCCTTGAAGGGTGGCTCAGCATGAGACACCCAACACAGAACAGAGATTACGTTAAATGCTGTTGTGGGACAACCCCAATGAGTGTCGGCAATCATGGCAATCTAATTAAGCATATCATATTATTGACAAGAAAGCTGGCCTCAAGGATACCTGCAGAAGCCAGATTTGCTGTCAAGTCTCCGAATATCGCAACTTGCTCCTAGTACAATCACATTGCATCTATCATTTGCCAAAACATGACATGTGAGAGCTCCAGCGTGTTGGTGGAACTGTGGAACCTGCCAAAAAGCAGTGCAAGTCTCAACATGACATCTGTTCTATCATGCCATGGGCAGCATGTTTGTTGCATTTGACACAACAATTGTCTCACTGACCCAAGCCATAACGAATTCGTTTGTGCACCAACCGTTCAATTTGCACCGACCGTCCCCTCTCGGCTCCTCCAGAGCTCGGGGTTGCCACCGTTGGGCAAACAGCGTCCGGGCAATCGGTCCCACAGACCACTCGCTAAGCAATGAAGCTCCTCACGTCGGGCCGCTCCCCGAACGAACCAACGAACGAAAAAGAGCAGAACGTGGGAAGCTGATTCTCAGTGTTTTGCTGCACTAATGTGGCGCTGACCGTGTCATGGCAAGCTGAAGGCAAAACACTGTCGTGGTGTATGGCAAAAAGTAAGTCCGAGGATGACAGCTCTAAATTGAATGCAAAAAACCGTCTGCTAATGCTTCATACGGTCATTTATTGATCGGTCAACTTAAGAACTAGATTAATCTCAAAGAAATTACAAGGTGTCGCTTTTTGACTAGCAGGGGCTGACATGGAATCCGAAAATGCACTTGTGCGTATCCAAAGTATACATGACATCACACATCTTGCTGAGTACACACATGATGGTCGTATTGAAAGGCAAAAGGAAACAACCTGCGCCTTATCGCCTTGACTCAACTCTGTATATACTACACACCAGGGCCTCCAAGGGATCTATTTGTAGCCCTTAGAGGTTATTAAAGGGGTCTCCATTGACCACCCCTTCTGGGTCCTGGTAGCTTCATGCAAAATGCTTAACTTTCTACCACCCATCAAATCTCGGCCAAGAGTCTGAGGCACCTTCCACGTTGAATCCTCGGATCAGTGACACTCTCTCTGTGGAGCAACTCAGACTGACCCACTTGGGCAACATTGAATGGTGTGCCGAACACCTTCCCTTTGCAGTTGTCGCGCATATACTATATATATACTTATATTAGGACCCCCCCCCTCCCCGCCCCAAATTACTCCGCCCGCCCGCTCGCGTCCAGCAAAGGCTCCATCCGCACATCGCAGCTGCAGGCTACGGTTGAAGTCCCTGGAACCCCACCAGGTGCCCCACACATCGCTACACGCCGAGCAGGTGACCACCGTGCAGCCTCCATAGTGCCCGACGGCCTCGGGCAAGGGGATTCATGGAGCCTTGCAGTGAACTGGAGTCCTTCGGTGGTTCCTTTTGTGGCCTTCTTCGGTTGTCTTCATCTTCATTGGGTTTTATTCATTTTGTTGGTTTGATTTGAGTTGATTTTCTTGTCGTTGCTTTCCGGAGCTGCGGATGATCAGTTTGAGGTTGTCTGAGGGATCCTCCTCAACAAACCGGAACGAACACATTCATGAACAAAAGCTGATGCTGATGACTACCACTTACAGCAATGTTGGTAACGGCAGTTCATGACAATCTGTCATATGGTTTGGCTCTTCTTTGCTAGTTGCGAATTGGACAGAGTCTTGTTGGAAAGCTGTTCAGCCTTAGACCTCGTTGTCGAAGCAATCCAAAGCCACATTTGGCTATTCCATAATAACACTATATAATTTATGTTCACCAAATCCAAAGAATGCCATGCCATGACCAACACGGCAGTCTCATTGGTGAGCATGGCTATCATCCTGTGCCACTTCCTGTGCCTTTTCTTGTTTCAGACCATTCTATGATATTCTATGGATTTCAGCTTTCTGTCATTTTCCGCCCTTGGCAGCGGTTGAAGCCTGATCGTTTTCTATCCACCAGGCCACCAAACACCAGGTCCTCCGACGCGAGGACCAAGGTGACCCTCTTCCGCACCCGGTCCGACCGCGCCACATGCGGCCAGGGATCCGTCCAAGCATCCCAGCCCACGCACTTCACGTGCCAGGTCTCTTCCGATTGGTTCAAGGGTTGCCAGCCAAGGGCGCAGCCGACCTGCAGACTTGGGGGTAGAAAGGTGGAGAAACGTTGGGTTGAAGCGGTTTGTGGCGTTTTAGTATGAGATCATTGCAATGGATCGATATCCAAAAGTACGAGGAAACCCAAGTAGCATGAGCCACTGTGAACGATCACATTGAGAAAGGAAATCCTGCAGCAGTTGGGCTTAGAAAGCTATGAATCATGATTCACTTGCACGGACGCTCTTCTAGCCCTTCCTTTTCGATTTTTCCGAACTGACGCCAGAAGTTTCGGAAGCTGTTGATTTCGGATAAGGCCACTGGTGAAGCCTACCATAAACTGCACCTCTTGTACAGTGCAATCTAACTTCTCGGCTTTTCAACACAAATCCTCAGCTTGTCGGCATTGTCAAGGTTCATAAGGATGTCATCTCTGCGTTGTTGCCCATTCACTTGAACAATGATGTGACCTGGATAGATCCGAAACAGCTCACCTTTGTGACGGTTGTACTGTCTCGTGATAGGGCTCCAGGGTGCAATCCACTCAATTTGCAAGGTCCTCAAGTTCAGATCCAAACCTAGAGTTCTGGTGCCCCTGATCCAGCTCCTTTCCCTGGTCACCGAGAAACAAAGTCTACTGGGTGCCTCCTTGAAAAAGCCTGACCTCTTGCGACGACAAGTCTTCGAGGTAGAAGTAGACATCATAGAAACTGAGGCTAACTGCCTGCATGTCAACCGTCCATGTGCGGGACAACATGAGCGGATCCTGGATCCTCCAGTAAGACCCCCAGCCCTCCAAATAGTTCAAGCCACCAACCAGCACTGTTCCAGCTTGCTGCTGCATTCTGAGATCATTTTGAACATCCGCAGCTGTGAGCACAGCATCTGGATTTTGATCAAACAAGTTTTCAAAGCGGCGCCAAGCTGACACATCCAGTGAAAAGGTTGCCAAAATGTGTCTTCCTCTGGGCATTGAAACTTCACAGGCAGCCTCGTTGGCTGAAATGGGGCTGAAATGGAGATTCCGCGACCGGCAAGCTTGGTCGAGTACTGTAGGGATGTCAACATGGTCTGTACCCCATTCTGTCAGCAACTCATTGACAATGTCTTCGTGATGCTCCACTTCGCGGCAGAAAATCCGGGCCTGAGTTTTTCGGATTGCTGTTGCAATTGCGTGAGCATAGGAGAAGGGCCTTGCCCTCTCATCAAACACATCGTCCAGTCTGGCTGCTTTACAAATCACCAGCATCATGTCTAGGACATCGGAGTTGTGGAGCTCCCAACACATGTCATCACTGGCTTCCATACCGACTCCGTTGACTGAGTGTATCTGGTAACCTGGCTGGATCTTTTCGTAAGGATGTTGACGATTCCACGTAGCCACCGCGCAATTTCGCCTTCGCACTCGTTCAATGCGAAAAGTTTCGAAATCAATTGACCAACCAAGAGAGGAAATCGGATTCCTGACTGATCTCTGTGGGGAATCCAGCCGAACCTTTAGAACTGGTGGTGCCAGTCGATAAGCGTTGATCTCGCACTGGTTCAAATCGCACAGTCTGAAGCACACATCATAGTATTTGAAATTAAGAGCATCCCTTGCTACCCGGAAGTAGCCATCATCACCAAACCCTTCGCCCCAGGAGTTCTTTACTAACCACGCATCCTGCGTCTGGCCTGTGATCACAACGGCATGTCCTTCTACTTTGCTGTCTTCAAAACCAGCATCACTTGATAGGTCAGAGGCTTGTAGCACTCTTGAAGGGTCAAACAAAAAGAATGCCGTGAACGCATCCCACATACTTTCAGTCAAATCAAAGCGTGCGAGCACAACTCTCCCTGATGCCTGTAGCAAGCTTTCTGCAGTTTCTTGGCCAATAGCTTCATAATACAAATTTTTCTGTGGGCAGAACTGGCTCAACACATCATTGATAGGTGCTCCATCACAACCAAACCTGTCGGTGATCTGTCTAACCAGGCTCTCATGGCGTTCCACTGCTCGCCCAAAAATGCGCATCTGGGCACTTCGAATTGCAGTAGCTGCGGCAAAAGCGTAGCATGTGCCTGTTTCCTGGTTAGGTCCCTGCGGGCCATTGTCCTGGTCATGAATTCTTGGAGAGAGATCTGTGGCGACTGACATGTTCGCATCATCCTGCACCACCTTGGGCCTCCACACGCGGTTCCGTGGGCGGCTATTCCATCTTGCCCTCATTCACGGTTGGCTATATACCCTGGGCCCTAGGCCCTAAGCAAAAGCTTAAAAATTGCTTAAAGGCTTGAGCTTCGAGCCACGTGCTGCTGGAAGATCGTCGTTCTACATCCGTCTCATTGGCTCCAGCTCTTTTGGTGCAGCACTAATTCCAATCGATCCAATGGACCAGTCACTACCATCGAACCAATCACCATCACCGGCCATCGAACCCTTCTCACCATCGAATCCAAGCTGTGGTGTCGGCCTCCAGGTGCGAGCCAGCCTTGAAGGGTCCCTGAAGATCCTTCATTTCCCGTACCTTGCTGCGGTCTGAGCTTGCTTTAGTGCTTTTCTGGGATGTGCGCGGCAGAATATGTCAGTGCCATAAAAGGACATACATGGGGCAACTCTCGTGCCATTGTTCTAGATCCCCCTTCTTTGCCACTGCAAGGCGTGCCTAAGGGCTGGCATTATCTCCTTTCACTGTTAATGTGGGGAACCCAGTAGTGTCAAAGACATCGACCCATGGATTGACTTGTGCAAGTGGCAAGTGTCTGCCCTGAACGTCCTGGGAACCTAAGTGTGTATATCATCGAAGGCACGGAGCTACGTCATGCTACGTCGTGACTCTCCACCGGGTGTGGATGTTCTCCGTCACTCGTGGAAGTTCTTCTTGAGAACCGTTTTTCTCTTCAGAAGACTTTTCTGAACCGTTCGAAAGTGCTTCAAAGCCCTTGTGTTTTCGGCCCAAAAGGACAACGCTCCCTCTGAGGGTCAAGCTCCTTCTGGTAGCTTGTGACACAAGGGCTGGTGGTCCTCATCCTCATCCTCCTCACCTGGAAGATGAAAGCAAAGCTTCAAAGTTGGGTCGGGCCCCTGACTGTGGACGGCAAGTACGTGCCGTGCAACCACAACATGGAAAAAGTGAATCTCTGGATGCAACAACACTTTTAAATTTCGAAAAAATACCAGGCTTTCTTTCAGTCACTTCCAGTTGCGGGTCAGTGCATCTGGTAAATCAATGAACTTACCACCAAAACAAACTTGCACCTGCGTTTTTAACATCCCTTCCATGATCCGCGGGTTGGTTTGGAACGTCGACCCTCCCCAAACACTCCAGGTGTCCTGCTCTACTTCATTCTTTCCAATGGGATCCATTGGATGAGCATCATGATCGGCATCTTGAGGTCAGTTTGCGAGGAAGACTTGCGACTCGTTGCCACCAAAAACATCCAAAAACAAATTTCCTCTTGGAACTCACCAGCGGCTAACACCAAGAGACTGCCCAACGTTCCAACGCCGCCTTTGCGGCTTTGGTTCTCTTCAGGTCTTTTCTCTGATCCGCCTGGGCGAATATTGGCACATCAATTTCAAAGATCAAATTCCAAGTCCACTCTAAACAGAACATGACCTCCGAGAAGGAACAACTCTGCTTGTTGTGCCTGGATATACCTGCAATCTGACCAAATGACACGCATTTTGAAAAAAAACAGTCATAGCCGACCAATGCAAACTCTAGAATCTAGAATGTCTAGGTCACCAGGCACTGAGGCAAACACCTTCACCATCATAAAGTTTGACCAAGTCAGTGGCAAAGACAAAAAAAACACCCGGGCGTGTAGCTGGGTGCTATAGATAGAATAGGGAGACCCCTGCAACCCAAGGCACCAGTGACTTGAGTGTATTTGTCCTTTTACCAGTAGCTCTGGCTCAGGGTCCCTATGCTACTGCTACGGTGCATCCAAATCCAACCCGACACCTCTCAGCCGCCCAACCAGTCGGAACCGCTGGCGCCGGTGGCTTCGTCGATGCCTGCGAGCCAGAGAGGGGGCAGGAACAAAGCACCGACCTACAGAGAGGCCCCACAAATCGATAGAAGCCTTTTTAAGGATAGATATGCCCAGCAAATTTCAGATTGCTGGGTTCTTGTAAACTTAGTTCAGTCACATGAAGATGATTGATGAATCGTGTGCCTTCTCTCCCACAAATTTGATGTGTCCATAGTATTTGCGTTCCTCAGCTCATCCTTTTTTACTTTTATTACTATTCTTTATTCTTCCTTGTTGTGGCAAATGTTGTTCATTACTTTCCAACTTACTTCTCCTACTGTTGTCCCCCCAGCATCAAACTAGTACCTGCAATGCAGAAAGGGTCAGGACTGCAACAGCGTGTGACATAGGCCCATCATGTACGCACCGAGGCTGGCTGTTGGGTCATACTGTCGCACGAATGTCACCTGTTTCTAACAAGTATCGTCTTCCAGAAAACCTTGATCATGCTCCGGTTGGTGGACCCAAACCACCAAACCAATACGAGTTGTGGGTTGTGGGGTTGATAGTAACACAACACCCTGAACTTGTAAAGCGAAATCATCTGCGGCCTACCACCTGAAAGAAAGTGTCTTCCACAGTGGATTGTGGTGGTAGGTATAATTCCTTATAATAGTAAACCGCATGGGGGATTCCCATTCAACTCAACCGACTCGCCTTCAGAAGCTCCTGGGCCTCTTCCGCGCTGCGTGGGCACTCGGAGCTGCAGTGGGCACCGGTGGAGTCGGGACACCGACCGGTGGAGTTCCGGCCACGGACGTGCCGAAGGGTGCGTTGAACGGTGACGGCCAGGAACGTGGACTGGCTAATGGGAGTGGCCGCCTCCATGTCGACTGGGAGAAGTATCTAAGACTCTGTCATACAGACCAGGTCCTTTGTCAAGTGCAACCAGGTCTCTGACTCCTTGACTCCAAGTATTGCAGCAGTTCAGATCAAGGCTGCCAGGCAACTAAATTTGATGTAAACTAAGAGTGGCTAATCATATGAAGTTGGAAGTTGTCTAGACACAGGGTCTTTGGGTTTTGAACAGGATGTTGTTCAATCGGGACCGCAGCCGTAGCCATGAAAGAATGGCAAGAGTTCCTGGAACAGCCGGTGTCTAGAACCAAACTTAGTTCTATTTTTATTTTTTGCACAGTCCAGGATTTTTATCCCAAACTAAACCCTTAATATCCAAAGCCCTCATGGTATCAGGACGTGTGGAGGTGGATTCATCAGAATCGGAGAACCAGTCTGCAAGCTCCTATGATGAGTATATGCAGGAGTACTCCTATGACTCTGAGGAGTCCGACGATTCTGCATCCTTAGAGATGAATCTCAAACCTCTTCTCCTTGCAAAGAAGAAACAGCACCAGCAGGGATTTATGTATGTTTTTGATTTCCCTGGCTTTCCCCAAAATTGGAAACAGCACCAAATGGGATTAGTATGTTTTAACCTTCCTGGATGTTTCCCTAGAATTTACTTTCCCTGAGTGTTTCCGAAGTGGGACAGCGGCATCCCTGGTGTTACCACACTCCAATGTGCAACTTTTTCAGTCCATGCGAAATGAACTCAGGTCCGACCAGCACAGGCAAAAGGTGGAGATGACACCTGAGCAAAAGAGGTATTTGGATGGCAAAGAATGGGGCCACGAGCTGCTTCGCAAAGCAGGAGTGGGATAAACTGCCCCCAAAGGGTTTTCATGGGTTTTCACTACTGGGTCATCCAACAAAGATTAGGAACTCATCCCATACCTCCCCTCCCCTGAGGTATGGTCAATTTCTTTGAGAAGATGCATCCTGTCTTTTTGCAGTCAGATTGCAGCGGTGCTGAAGGTGCATTCTATGGATTACTCAGCATACAGCCTACAAAATCCTTCCTGATGTCTTCGCATCTTGGCTTGAAACGGCTTTATGACCCTGTCAAGAGGTTTATGACCCTGTCTTGAAACCCTGGAAGGTGTGACCGTGCTGTTGGCCCTTTGAAATTCATAATTAAGAATCTGTCGCCGCGAAGGACGCTTTGCTTGAACATTACTGGACAGCGTTTTGAGATACTATATCTTTTTGCTGCATTGAATTGACATTCAATGCCTTCTGAACACAAACAAGGATCTTCACCTCAATGGAGGAAAGGGACACTAGCGCAGTTGCCAAACACAAAAACGCCTATGCATGTGGCTTCAGCTGCAAGCCGTTCCTTGCTCACCTTCAGGGCCCACTGTGCATCTGTTGTGTGAGTTTGAAATGGCCCTGTTTAAGTTTAAGGTTCATCTAATTTGACAAAAACCCATTCAACTCAGGTTCAGTCAGCTTCACCACCAAAGTCGGTATTTGCAGGAGAGAGAAGCAAGAGTATTCTTTTCCTGCTTGGCAGAGATAGCTCGATCATCTCCCCTCATATGCCTATTGGAGAATGTCATTGGTTTGATGAAGGTCTGGGACCAGGCAATGTATTTGTTTGATATGTTTTGCTTTGGCATGGTTGTGGAACATCATCATTCTTTCTAGCATCTGTGCAGGCAGACAGGGCCTTCCAGAAACTGAAGAAGTTTGGCTACTTGTATGGGAAGGCAACTTGCAATATGAATTTTTCAGGGGGGCAATGCTTCCAACATATTCCAAACAGGTCATTGTGGACCCCCTGGCGCTGGGAGATGCTGCAAAGCGTCGCCGCATCTATATCCTGGTCATCCATCACTCGATCCTGAGGCAAGACATTGACTCCAATGACAAGCTGGAGTCTGTTCTGCAAAAGACTATAAATACAATGAAAACGGTTGGCCCACCACCAGATCCGTTTCCTGGCATACACAACTAACAAATTCAAAGACATGGCAAAATTGTTGTTGTTGATTCTGCTTACCCAACCAAGGCAGCGTTTGATGTTCCCTGACAACCATGAGGAAGTTCAACGGGATATGGCAAATAGGCGCTCCAGGCCTAAAAAAGAAGATGACATTGGCATCTATCTCCTCCAGAAGTTACTTGCCAGAAGCAATGATTGAAGGAAGATTTTGCAACTAGATCTACCATATTGCAACCAAGGCCAAAGAAGAACAGGCCTCGATGGCCACACAAACATTGGGAGTTCATGAAGGTGTTGGAGGCCCATCTCCTGTAGACACGTTTGCTTCCCACATCCGAGTCAGGATCCAACCTGCCTCCCTGTCCAGGTAGATCCAAAGGCAGTTGTCCAGTACATCAAGGACCACAAGGGTGAGTTGGAGCACATCTCCAATCCTCGGCAGCAGCATGCAACGTGGCATTCCTTTTGGTTTTGCTCAGAAGCTGGGACTTTCAATTGTTGCTGGCCCAAACCCAAAGCCAAGGCAATCGCCATTATGAAGCTTGCAAACATGAAAGGATTTGTGAACCTGAGCCAATCTGTTGAGAGAATGGGGCTGACTAAGCATATCCCATGCATCACTCCATGTGGCGAGTTCTACCACCTGGGGATTGGCCGGTACCTGCTAGGCCTGGCAGGCTGATTTTGCAAGCATATTTGTGAATATTTGTGGATGTTTTTGAATGTCATCGTGACAGTGACATGCCCCCTGAAGATATTGAGAAAATGCTCTTCCAAATGTTTCCCATGAGCGCCATCGATGTCAGCCATCTAAGCAAGCGTGCATCTTTGTCAGCAACCATGCATTATATGGTAAGTTGTCTTGATACTTGTTGGAACTCAGAACCCAGGAACTGGAAGATTTGGCTGGCAATGCTATGAATATCCGAGCAGCAGCAGCTGGATGGATAGCCGGGTTCAGCGCTGTAGATATCAATGCCTGGAACAGGCAAAGCATCACCCGGGAAGACCAGTTCCCATTGAACCAAGAGGGATGGTGAGCGACAGAGCGGTTGAAAACATAGTCTGTGGTGGCCTTAAAATTAGTTCTATCATTGTGTTTGGTTTCATTGGCAAGTTTTGGTGCAACTGGCTGTCAACAATGGTTCAACCCAGGGGTCCAGCAATGGCAATTTAGTTAATTCATTCTGTAGTTCCACTTATTGTGTGAAGGCAGGCACTTCAACATGAGGCAACATGAGGCAACAACTCCTCAGTTTTGTTGAACTCACCCATGGCATTGCAGCGGTTCAGTGCCTCCTCGTCCAACAGTAGTGGCTCCAGCAGTGATTCCAGCTCTTCATCCAGCACAGTGGAGCCACTGCCCAAGAAGGCCAAGCCTGAGGTGGATAACGTCCGGAATCTGTCATGGAATCAGCTGCAATCTTTGGAGGTGGATGAGCAAAGAACTTCGTCCAACATTAGACTAGGGTTTGGACACTGTTTTTCAACATTATTTTTACATTATATATATATATATTCCTTCCACTAGTCCTTCCATGTATTTTTGCTGGCTTGGACCTTGTTTCTCAACGCCAAAACTCAGGCATTGCGGGCAATGACAACACATACCAGAAGAATGGAAAGTCCACTGAGCGAGTTGAGATGGCACTGCAAAAAACATGTTGCAAAAGGCAGTGCAAACGGGCTCTCAGTTTGAAAGTGGTGATGACCCTGGTTGTCACATTCTGGTCATTGGCCAAGGGCTCACAGGACTCCATGCCACTTGGCATTTCTGCTTCATTTCCACTTGTTTTATGCTTTTGGACAACTCCTTTGGCTGCCAAATTAGGCTGTGGAGCTTGCAAAATCCTTCAACCCTGATGGGGGATAGCAACAATGAAGATGGAGGGGATGAATCTGACTCTGATTACGATAGCTGCTCCTCTGGGTCTGAAAAGAGCTCCTCCTCCAGAAGGAAGAGATCTTCATGGTTCATTCAAGGCAACTTGTTCTTAATGGTGATTTGTAGCCCTTGCCATTCTCCAGCACTTTGCCCGGCCTCAGGCATTCCAGTATGCCGGCAAGCTTGGCTGGATGTCCTTGGTGTTGGGAGGGAACGTCTGCTGAGATGCAAGAATAATTTTCGTGGTACAGACCATCGAGGACTTGGAGACTTGGCATTTTCAACCGTTGGTTGGTTGGTTCTTTTTTCAAAGCTTCAACAATGACACTATACTTAGTCTGGTGCAAATTGAATTAGTATATAAGGACATCAGTCACACAGTGCACCTGCAGCTGCATCTGTCCTGGCCTTCTTGCAAAAAACCTATTTTGGGATAGCCGAAGATCTGCCCCATGAGCCAGGAACCTAGCTTCTCCCACAATCTCCCACACAGCACATAATGTGTTTGAAGAGTTTGTGAACATCAATGACCATAGATTATTGTCTTAACCTGAGGATGCATTTCAACCCCAGAGAGCAATGGGCCTCTACAGAAGAGGGTCGCCAAAAACTCCTTGACAGTTTGATGACAAATTCCTTTGAGATGGATCTTGGTGTTGGAAACCATGATCCAGAAACTCTACCAAGAAGGTATTTACCACCAGGGACTTATTCAGACCTATACCGCCTATACCAGGCTGAATGCTTTGCACAGGAACAACCAACAGCTTCAGCGTCAACATTTTTCCGGGTCCTGCAATCCTCTGGGTGCCGCAAGAAGATCAAGTTCCGTGGAGAATCAACACATGCACAATGCTCAACCTGTCACAAGCTGAAAAGTGGTATCCACAATGCCCGAGATCTGAATGAACATGCCAAATCCTGTGACAAATATATGAGACATTTGAGCGGTGTCTTTGCAGATCGGCAAGTGTACGCTCAGCTGAAGAACAGGGCCAAGGTCCAGGGTGACCTCTTGACATGCATCATC